CTTATTGTTTATAGTTACTTTTATATTATAGTTCTTTTTTTATGTTTTACTTTTTATAAACATATTTATATTTTTTATTAAATTTCTTTGTTTTATTTTATTTTTATTTAATTATCTTTCATATTAAATTTTTTCTCTATGTTGTAACTTGTCTTATATAATTAACTATGTTATTAAACTAAAGTTTAATAATTTTATTCCAAATTTTTATAATAATTACATTATATTTCTAATAGATAAATATTTATAGGATTTATATATAATTAATATTTATAATATGCTTTTTTTAATTTCAGATACGATTTTAAATGAATAAATAAATAATATGCGCCAATCAGAAAGCAGCTAAATCGCAGTTACGAAGTGGACCATTGCGCATCGCGGTGCGCACGGCGTCAGTCTACGGTTGAAAATCATGGTGAGTGGATGTGTTGTCGACGTGGGAAATACGCAGTAAGTTATTCTTGTTATATAAATTTATTAATTACTCTTAATTTCGTTTATTTCTTAATCCATTGAAAATAGTAATAACGAAATGAATTATTGTTTTGAGTTTCTTTGTGCGGTTTTCTTCGATTGCTCACTTACTTGTTGCGTCATTAGTCGTTTTTTGTGTCGAAATATTTGGAGATCGAATATTGCTTTATTTTAATTGAATTTGTATTTTATACATTTATTTAGTTTTATATTCATGATATTTCAGTATGATTTTATGTATTTTCTTTGTTTGATTAAAAATTTTGATGTTCTTTTGCGCGAATTTGATATAGTCATAATAGCTTTCGAAGGCGGGAAAATTTCCAATATGGACGCCATGTTTGTTCTTGATGACGCAGTATAATTTGTCATTTCGTATATATTTTTATTCTGTATTCTTGCATTATTAATGGCTTTTATTAAGTAATTCATATAAAAATTTTATTCTATTTAGAAGAAATTGCTGAAATTAAAAGTTTATGAGAAATTTTGGTAATCTATTATTAGAAAACAAATTTTAAATTTTAATAACGAATAGTTTGTTGGATTTCGGGTATTTATAATTATTTTTTATAAATATTTCTTATTCATAATTCATTATTTTTTAAGAAAGAGTAAAAAGAAAGTCTCGATTAGGAAAAAAAAAATATCGAAAACATTGCTTTTACATTGCTCTTATCCTTTACTAATTTAATATTAATTTCAGAAAATATTTGTGACTGCGTGCAATGCAGTTAATAGAGTCAGTGTTTGTTCGTCATAGTATTTTTAGTATTTTTTATGAATACAGTGGTCTAATTAAATTAAATTATAGGAGTCAAACGCGAAAGTAGAGTCAGTGTTTGCTCGCCGATATAAGTTCATAATTTACACGGTTATGTGCTATTAGTTTCATATTTTTATTATTGAATTTGTTTTTATGGATATTCGATAAAAAATATCAGTGTACGAAGAATAGTATCAAGCATGCAAAAAGGTAACAATCTTTTATTCTATTTAAGTTTTTAAATTTTAAATTTTTAAATTTTATCTTGTTAAAAATTAATTAGAATTTCAATATAATTCCATTCAATGTCATTATTATATGTATATTATATTAATAATTTCTTTTTTCTTTATTTCAATTTTTTTAAAATAATTAAAACATATTTTAAACTCTTTTATCCTTTTGTTTTATCATAGATTTCTATCAACTTTCACATCCTCCTATATTTTCTCGATGACTTTTGGATTATAGCAGCAATAAAGACGTTCGTCGCATCATTTGGTAAGTCGTATGCATTTCAATTCCTTTAGTCATTCAATCATATAATCGAAAAGAACAAAAAATTCTAATCGATACGGATGATTGGTTGTAAAATTTTGCACGAGTAGGAATATTTTCAATTTTTTAATAAATAGACCTAAATAAATATTTGAATTTTAAAATTTCACTTAAATCAGACATTATAGCAGATATTATATGTTATTATTTTTAGGTTAGATTAGGCAATAAAAAAACATTAATTTTTATAGATTTTATAGATTTATATTTTATTTTAGATTTAATTTTAGAGTAATTAAGATTTAAAATTATATATGAGTTAACATTTATGTAAATTAATATGATTTAGATTATATAATATAAATATTTTAATAAATAGGTCAAAAATTTTAGATAGAGTATTTTTAAGTATAATTAAATTTAAGGATTAGCAAACTTTTTTTAAGTAAAAATTTTAGAAAATATAAAAATGATAATAATAATAAAATTAATTGTATTATTATTATCTTATAAAAAAAATAATTCTCTATCCTAAAAGGAAATAATTCAAATATTCGGTAATTCTATGATATTTAATAACTTTTCCCAAATTTTTTAAAACTGGGAATCAGTAAAAGAACAATACTTATTTGGGAAGTACGTATTACTTAGATTATAACTAGATGGCGCAAAGAATACGTTGGTCGATAAAACATGCGGTGTAAAATTCCGTAAGATGTCACGTCAATTCCATTCCTCTTATGTGGTTATACTCTACACATTAATAACGAATAGCATATTAATGGAAGAAGTGTAATCTTCTATAATAATGAACAAAATGTTAATTTATTTGGATAAAAACAATTTCAAATTTATTCTTTACTATTTTTTTGTAAATACATTTCCAAGCTACGAGCTTGTAACGAATAAATATCACGTTACTTTTATCCTATATTTTTAATAATCAATTGTGCTTTCGAAATGTTAGAATTATTCGATTACGTTATAACGAAATAAATTACTAAATATGTTTATTCATAAATATTTAAACATCTTTTTTCGATTTTACGTCGTAGCTATAAATATTCGCGAAATATAAGAATTGAAAAAATTTAAAAGTTACGGTACCAGAAAAAAACGAAAAGATTGAGAAAATTCAACGAACGACCAATTATTAATTGGGTGAAAATTGAGGGATGAAAATTGAGCTTTCTCGCGAGTTTGTCGAATAAATAGGAACTGTTTCGTTCTCGTTGATTTGTTTCGTTCCACTCGAGCAATTACTTCATACTACCGTGAATAAGAATAGAAATGGATTCAAATAAGATCGAAGAATCGATACAGACCGATCTTTCGATTTAATGGATAATAAAATCTCTCATTTGTTATACGACGTAGGATTTTTTTTTTTTATAGATGCATAGTGCTCGTTTGCCGATGAATTATAATTGCGAATGATTTAATCGCGTACATATTAATGCTACGAATTTCAACAATGGCCAACAGTACTGTGAAAGAGAAGATCGTTTCGCATATCGTAGAATAACAATGAATTAAATATAGAATCGATTTGTAGTAGATTTTTCATAAAAAAAACGCCATAAAGTTGTTTCGCAAACCCTTGGAAAAAAAGAATCGTGATTGAATTAAAATAGTAAGTCAAAAAATTACGAAGGTTTTATTCGTGACTTTTGGCTTATATTCTACATATATATCATGACGTGTTTTCCCCACATCATAAATTGAATATTCGAACGTAATTTAGCTAAATAAAATTTATCAAACGAATATATCGATATTTTAAAAAACCGATTTAAAAATCGTTTAGAAAAAAATTAAAACGCACGAGACATAAAATGTTTAATTCTAAAGCAAAATATTTACGATATATTATCGGTATATTGGAATACAGTATATAGAATACGCGTGAGAAAATAAACGAACGATTTTTTTCGCTCGATTTCCCATTATTACCGTATACGCGAGAGAACTCGAAAGGGAAAGGTCTGTCGAAATCTGAAAGAATTTTTCCGACGTGTGCGCTTCGAGAAATTCTCCATCTTCGTTTGTCCCGTTATAAATCGTCGACAGTTGCCACACAGTTGTATCTCATCTGCGTTTACTTCCCGTAATGTCTTACCGACACGTTCCGCTTATATTGGAAAATCAATCACGATCATAAACCCGGAAAATACATTTGACACGTTCATTTAAGTGTCGTCGTCGTGGCTGTACTCGACTCTACTCGGCATTCCGATCCACGAGTGAAAAATATTTTCAAATATCATATATCGCAAGTTGAAAGATCAGTTCCTCTGTATATGAAAAAAGAAAAAATCGATCTATTTGTATAGATTTGTAGATTTCCAAAAAGTTGCCAACGATATTTTATACAATATATTTTATGCTTTATTTCTATCGTTTATTTCTATACGCATCTTTCAAATTTGATCGTAATTTAATTACCGATACATGCAAAACGCTTTATTATTATTAGCGAACAGATAAAATATTTCGTATACGAAAATCCTGTACGTGTATATATCGCGAAAAGGAATAAAATAGACGCGCTCATAAAGTTGCAAAAATTCAAAAATTCGCGCATTCTTTTCCCTCGCGATAGAATCGAACCGTGTTAAACGTGTTAAACTTATAAATCGAAGAACGAAAATGTATATCTACCATCTGCGCTGCTCAACATTTTCAGTTTATATAGCCTGACTTCGCTTCTATATGTTGAGATTTCCTGAAGTACGTGACTAGCCCGCTAACAGAGTTTCTCGCGTGAAACGTATTTTCGGATGCTCGCCTATCTTAAGATCATACGTGTACCTACGTCTTGCATCGATCGACTAAACGTTGAGAAAAATTCGTTTCGAAATTCGATATCGAAAATCTGGATGAATTTCATTTTATACGATTCACCCTAACCTTCTTATCAAATATTGTATAAATATATAAAAATGAATTATTCGTTATATCGCGTTTTAAGAATTAATTATCATTTCAATATAATAGAATAAATGGAATTGTCACTCTTTATAGGAAAATCATTAGCCTGGTTGCATCGTAACAATAGGTGTCAAAAAAATAAAAACACTCGTGACGATGCATTGTCCATCACGAAGTAATGGACCGTATAATAAATGCATTAGCGTTTTGATAAATGATAAAACTGTCGTTGAAATAAAAACGGAGATTGCTAAAATAATAAAATTTTAAAATTAATACTGGCAGATAAGCTCAAGATTCTTAAGATTTTTTTTTTAATTTAAGCTAATACTAAGCGGTGCAACAACGATACGACGAGGATAGGAAAATCATTAATTCAAAATTCTCGATCGCTTCTTTCTCCAAATAAAAATTATTTTTATCATTTTTATACGACCAAAGATAGTTAGGAAGCGTGCACGATTTAATTACGGCTACATCAGAATCTACTTTGCGTTAAAATCAAAAGCTAGTTCGTAATTAATTCGAGCATCTTTGTGGTTGCGAGCACGCGAAATTGCGCGAGAATAGTTGGTAACTTCCGCGAATCTTGCGAAAATATTAGCATGCTGTCTTCGTAATATTATTTATCTCAATTCTGTTTATCGTTCAAGTCTGCCGTTACAAATTGCCATTATTTCGATTATTTGTGAGAATCGAGAAACAAGGCAATTTATATAAGTTTGATCCGTTAACGCGTAGCGTTGAAACGTATCTATATATGCGTACCAATTATGTAATACATATACATATGCATACTACGCGACGTAGGCAAATATTATTTCGCTTGGCAAAAATAAACATCGAGCATACACACTTTGCCAATATTCACGATTGGACAAACCTATTTAATCGATCCCTGTCAGTTTCAATTATTTTTTTAGGAGTAAATACGATTCAACTACCGTTAATAAAAATGAAACCAATAATTCGTTATACCTCGTAAATTCGCTAAATATTTATTAGGTTCTCGATATCGCTACAGTTTCCCGTTTCGCGTTTCAATCAAAAATTTATGAAATATCACGACCGTTTCGTCCGTGTTTACGACGAAACGTTATCTCCGTTTTTAATCCGTTCGGATCACACATTCTTCTCGCGTTTCCCCCGTCAACGATTAATTTCCGTTCGATTCTTTTCCATCGTATCATATATACACGCGAAATCTGTAAAAATGTGTAACCCAACGACGCTTAATCCTCTGCGATACAACTTTCGTTCCATTGTTTTTCGATTTTTCGTTATATCGTTCCGTGCCCTTGGCAACTCGGGACAATTCGTGCCGCTTTTTCATCTTTTTATTTTTCACGCATTCAGAATTTTGTTTCGAGACGTAACAAAATACCAATGTGATATCCGTTCCGAAATAATCGTATCGCCATCCTCGTTTCTTTGTTCGAAATTGACCGCAAAATCCGAGAAGTCGTAAATTCGTTGAACGACAAAGCGAGACGACCGTCCTTACGATTTGCCGCTATCTTCTCTCGTTTCGTTTTCATTCGATTATTTCGGTCATTGAAGCCAACAATGGCAAGCGAAACGTAACGAGTGTCCGACCGGTGGTGAGCGATAAGATTACTTCCGAATAACACTTTGTAATTCGAAAGTTAAATGATCGGAACGTGAAACGTAACGATCATTTGTTCTTCGTTGAAATATATCTTCCTTTCGATAATTGACCGAAACGACGAATCGCCGTGCCAAAGAACGCGTTTGTTTCTGATAAATTTTCTAAAAAAAGAAAAAAAAAATGAACGCGATATGCTTTCAGTTTCACGATACATCGATAAACTGAGTATTATTATCTCGAAGGAAAGAGATGCGACGCACGAAACCGTAGAAAGAACGGTTCGAATTATATATCGGTGGTTGAAAAATTCTTCTTTCGTTGCACGTAAATTTAGAAAAATTACGGTATTTCGAATCGAGGTAACGAACCAAATTAAGTTTCGAATACTCGATCTGGTTGAAATTTCGTTATCGCAATCATAAAATACGCATTTAAATTCTTCAACGATACTCGTTCACTTTTACAATCGTTTTCACGAACAAACGCGTATCTCGATACGAGTATACGATGACGCGACAAAATGATAAATCGTTACGTCGTTTTTGCAAAATACTTTTCCATAGTTTTCGCATAATTTTAACGGATTTTTGCCGATAAAACGAGAAAGGAAAGAGGAGTGAGGGGAACAGAGGTAATGGCGAGAGCGCTAAAACAAGAGAGGGAAATTAGAGGGACGATAAATCGGTCCACTGAGACGACGGTGCCGAGCAAGCTTCCAAGGGAACTGTTCCGATCCCGGTATAATTAAGCTATAACGGTTTCGTCCATTGTCTTTCGATGTCAATCGCGAACACGTGCACCTTCGAAACTACGAACTGCGAGTTCGAAAGACGCATCTATCGGTTACGAGGAGAAAAGTCAGAATCGGTTGATACACCGTGCAATCGAGTTTCAACGATAATTCCAAATTTAGAAAAAGAAAATTTAGTTTTAATTAATTTAAACACGCTTTATATCGAACGGAAGTTGGAGAAATAATTCTGATTAGTTGGCATCGAACGAATCCTCATCCTCGATATCGTGGCGAAGAGCGTCGAATTAGATTTGAGAAAAGAAGCTACGGAAAAGGGGATGAAAGTTTCCGTGAAATGTCGGATGGTGGAATTTGGCGTGGTTGCGTTGAAACTTATATCGAAGTTGGATTAGTTCGGTGTATATACGATTCGAGGAGTAAAAGAACTTGGAAGACGCGTATCCGCGTACATATTCTTGAATAAAGGATTTCGAGGGATCGAAATCGCTTCGTCGCAATTTGAAAAAGATTCCGGAAAGACATTGGTCAAGATCGAAATAAATGGTCTTCGCGATAGAAGATGGAAGAGAGACGTTAACTCAACCGAGAGGGATAGTATTCGTAGTTTTATTCCGATGTGGGGGCTCACGTTCGATCGTGGAAGAACAAGAGGGGATGGGGGAATAGCTCGAGACGTAGAACTGGTTCGATTCGCCGAAAAAAGAAAAATATACCTGCTGTTTTTTCGCTAGTTTGCGCACGTACGTGATAATTTCGAACGAAACGGAAACGTGTAATAATATAATCGTAATACGCGAGCATACAGCAAATTTTATTCAATCTCATTGTTAATTACGTAACAAGAGATAATAAAGTTTATTCCGCGATTCATAAATATCTTTCTCTCTTTCTTTTTGAGAAGCTCGTCGTTACATCGAATACATCTGGAATCGAGTTGATAGCCTATATATATATATATATATATATCGAACAGGACTCGGATATTTTATGGAACGGTTGAGTGGTAATGAAGGTGTTTACATGCAGACAAGAAGGCGTCTCGCCGAGCCGTAGGTAATTAGGACAGCCGCGTCTACCTACGCGATAGGCATTGCCAGAGGTAAATGTGGACGGGTGCGCGTTATTTCCGGAGCTTCCACTCTTCTAATGTACCGGCGTAATTAGCGTTATCCGATCTCCGGACAAAGAAGAGTTACTCTCGTTTATAGAAACGCGGCGAAAAAGTAGCGGAGACAAAGATACTCGAGGGAGTACGACGAATTCGTTTTTTTTTCTTTTTTTTTTTTTTTTTTTTTTAGCAATGAAATCTGTGTCTATAGGCCACGATTTGCCGATCGAAATGAAAATGATGATGATGATGATGATGATGATGATGGTTAAGAGAAAATTTGCGAATTTTCGTTTTCTTTAAGGGTATATATAAGGTAAATATAAGGTGAAAGGTCTTTTTTCTACGACTCCGTTACGGAACGGAAACTTTTCTCCATGACATGAAATAGGGAACTGTTGGTTCGAAATGGTTTACTCGTTGATACGGAAAAGCTGGATAGTATCTGGATAGGCAGCCAAGATATTTAAGGAGCCGATTCCGAACTCTTGGTTCCGTTAGCTCGTTAAAGTCTCGCTTCTCTTCCTAGAGAAAAAGATTTCTTCCAAGTGGCCGACTATAAACGACCACCGACTTCAACTGTCCAATTGTACGCGTTCCGATAATGCGCTTCGCGCCTAGCCAATCTCACCGACGACGACGACATAATTCACGGTTCACCATCATTCTTCGTTTCTAGAAAAATAATTCTATTTAGATTTGAATATTATTCGAATTCGACGTCGAATCGTTTCGGTTTTTTTTTTTTTTTCTTAAGAGAGAAATACCGATTGAATTATCTGACTGAACTGAAAAAAACGTTTGATGCATCCAAGATTTATCCAAAAAAGAATAATTTGATCGAGACGTTCGATCGTTGACAAAATACTCGAATAAAATCCTTCTTCTTATCGTCGTAGTAATAAACTGTAAAGAATCTTAAAATATCGATGTTTCTTATTGATATATATCTCGTGTACTCGAAGACTAAATTTATGTAATGTTATTACACTGGTGGGAATCGCAATATCGATAAAGTTTCGGGATTGTTTTTGGAAACGTGCCTCTGAAGGTAAAATGGTTCAAGATTGAAAATTGAAGCTTTTATTACATATATATATATATATATATGTTACGACATTGAAGAGAACGGCACAGTTTTCTAAGCAACGTATATGCTCCTATTGTTATCCTTATTGCTGAAACGTCGAATAAGGGACAGCAGGTTGGAACCGAGATTATATTAGCTATATCGCGTATAGTTATCTTATCTCGAGCGAGAAAGTTCGAAAACCAGGAATGCGGAAACGTAGGGGTTTCATACGATCCAAGGGAGTTTGCGTTAATATTTACCGTCATTCGATGAAACATCGTTCCACGGATAAATCTGTTCGAATGATATCGATCGCGTTAATTTATCTTTCTTCTCTCTCGCGTTATAATATGACTGGAACGCGAAGATGAAATTTCGCGAGATTCGAAACGAAGGTGAAACGAAAATTATTGGCGATTGTTCCGCTTTAAGTATCACCTCGCATTAGCGAGCGACGAGAAGGCGGACAATTTAAATTATAGGTATGCTCGACCGAGACTGCTCTCTCTTATCGCATTAACGCGAGAATACCGTAAAATGCACAAGGTAAAGTAGCACGCCAACCAACAACTTGCAACGTAACCGTGTTCATTACGAAGAAAGATCTCGCCGAATTTCCCATTTACATTCCACCATCGTGTGCGACTCTTGGCACGGACGGTTATGCGCTCTTCTATTCACCCCCTTCCCTCCTGGATTAACTTATTTCCTCGTAATCGTGTATCGTCTCTCGATAAAAATTCTTGCCATTCTTGCTTTCAAACGAATAATTTTTAAGCCTACTAACAATGCACTTTTTCCTTCTTCGATATATTTCTATTTCTCGAAGTAGAAATCCTCTGATCAAATCTATCGTACTTTAAAAATTATTACGCGTTATTGCAATTTGCAAAAATTTCTTTCCTAATTTTAACCGTATTTTCGATCGTATCGTATCCGGGAGCAACGAGCGCGGTTCCACTTGAAGCGTTATTTTATACTTGGTCGCGCCAAATGTTGCATATAATCTCGTTAAATTTGATGTGAAAACGTTCGTTGTAAACTTTACGCGGAATCGAACTGTTTTATTATTTAAATAACATAAGCGTGAAACGAATACGATTTCTTTAAAAAAGAAAGTAAAATTGTATCGTTTGATAGAAATAATTTAAGATAGAAAAACTATTACGTTCGTTTAAAAATATCAATATGGTCGATGTACCATCGTTTGGACGATTTAATCGAAATACCGAAATACGCTTCGTAATAAAAATGCTTTCTAAAATTAATACTTTCTTTTCCCGATTTTCATCTATTGATCGGTCTACGCGAGTAATACGTAGTGCTACGAGGTTGTACGTATCTTTCTCGCAAATTCGATAGCCAGGAAAAATTAATTTTTTCTCGAATATAAATGTTTATATCGTAGTAAAAAATTTATTATCGTTGGTCGAATAACTTGGGATTCGATCGATTCGTAATATCTTTCTTACGTTAAATTATACTTTAATATCGTTCCCGGTAAGCTTGCTGGGATTTTTGACGGATTTTATAGCTTGGGACCGTATGGTTTAAATAAATTGAACGTTTCTTCGATAAATATCTATATTAGATTTATTTCAATTCATAATTATATAATAATACTCGTTCAATTATTGATTCCTCTATCGTACTATATTTTCGTCACATCAATCGTACAAGTGTATTCCATACGATTTGTCGATTTGACGATTAATAGTGTTGCTGTAATAAAACAAATAATAATCGTAATTGAATATAAAATCACGAATCTATCACGAATAAAACAAAAATATATTTATAATCATTCAAAAATTTATCTTAAATAACTTGTCTTCAATAACTTATGATCTAGTTAGGAAATATTTTTATAATATATACATACAGGCCATTTATTTTTCGGATTGAACGGTCCTTGACCGTAAAACGTTGGAAGCGGACGACTTGCCGGTTGTGGTATATTTGGTAATGGTACATATGCGAATGCTGCGCATATCGTGGCGAGTAGTGCGAAGACAAATATCACTACCTTCATCTCGTATCCCTTTTTTTCCTGTTATTTAATTTAGAAACAATTGTTTCAACGATTAATCACTAGATGCGCATTATGCAATTCCTTTTTAAACATATTAATTGTTATATTTTTCTTTTTTTTTATATGTCAACAATATTCTTACGTTATACATATTATATTCGTAATATTCGTAACTCGTACGAATAATCGTCTCTAGTAATTTTGAATTTTATAGCGATATAAATATATTATCGCGCACATATATCGATAAAAATCTACGAATTATTATTAATTATTATCGCTATGCGAGTAATATTCTGGTAAACATTTACTTGTAATTATTACGAAATTGGATGAAAAATGAAATATTTTTGATACGAAGAAATAATTAAAAAAATAAAGAAAAAATTTTTTTATTACTTACGTTTTTGCAACTATCCAAGATACACACCTCAAGTATGGTTTCGATGCGAATGAACGTTGCATTCATATATGCATATTTATATATATATATATCATCTCGATTGCATAAGAATTCGCACGCGTATGCATTTTGTCGTGTAAATATATTTGCATTTGTTCTTCGTTACAAGGGGATTCCTACGTTTCTTTTCTATCGCGAATAACTTGACGGAAAATCAATGACACACAATGACCTCTTATCGTATCAACGACGAGTCGTATCTTCATTTACACATTTGGAAATCCCTCGGAACTCAATTTTCCTCCAGTCGTTATTTATCTCGCGATTCATTACAAAATGGACAAAATGCGATACGTGTCATTTTCCTCGTAAATTATACATCGTATCGATGTATCGGTAGTAATTAAATAAAACATATAATGGATAATTTTACATTCACATTTCCAAGTTTATGTTTTAATATAAAATTACTCTCTCTTTCTTTCTTTTTTCTCTCTTTCGTTCGTTTTTCGATGTACGATAGTAATTCTCGAAATTAAATTAATGGAAAAAACTCGTGTGATTTTAGAATAAGGAGAGTAACGTGAAAAGCTAAACGTGTCGTCGTTGAATACTTAAAAATACAATTGTACGATTTTGAGAAAGAAATTTGTCACGAATCGATTTCAAAACGAACATAATGAATGACGAAGAAAAACCTAGCTCGAATTTTACTCTCTCGATTCGCTTATCGAAAGATAGAGTTTGTTACTCAACAGAATTTTGGAAAGAATTTTCGGTAGAAATGTGGAGAATTAAAACGGAATCGCGAGAGACTCGATGCACTTGAAACGAGGAGCAACGTCGAGTATCGTTACACCATTTTTGCTCCCTTGAGTTTTCAAGTTGCAATTAGAGAGAGTTGTAATAGCGAAGATTGAGGAATGCGAGCGAAAGACGAAAAGTAGGCTTATATCTATACTTTCGTCCAATTTTCTACGTTTTTCCCAGTTGTCTCTCATCGTTCGTATCTTATTCGTACGAACTCACTTTACACACCGCTTTTCAGCTGTATCGCGGTATTTTTTTTTTTCTTCCCTATTTCCTCCACTCGTCGCCGTGTATACGATACTATTCAAACTCGTGGAACAATTTTCATTAACGTAATTACTAGGAAACGTATCGATATGCAAATTATTGCAAATTATTCAATTTGAAATCAAATCGGTAACCAAGAATAAAAAGATATTTATGCTAAAGTACAATTTTCCAAAATAATTTTTGTATAGAGAGAGAGAAAGAATGAGAGAGGGGAAAAAAAAAAAGATTAAAAAGCGTTTTCGAAGCGTATAAAAATTGTTACTCCCAATGGAGAGAGAGGTTCACGCTTGCATCCGATCGATAACGATCAATCAAGGGAGACAAAAGAAACGTTTACTCGGCCTTTGCCACTCTCGGCAATAAAGGAGTGGCGGACAGATATGGGAGCAATATATTCATACACTCACGGGCATTATTTTCACACATGAAAGAAATAAGCGCCTGTAACGGATCGCGAGTGAAGCTTGAAAACGTTATGAACGAAATTCTTTCAAGCTTTTGACAACCTCTTTTGTTTATCATTCGTTGAATGGCAGATAGAATAGATGGATTATACCATTCCCGGAAAATCCATATTCGACTACGTATATATATCTACGCATATATATATATATATATATATACGCTTCTCTTCATTCCATTATAATCTGCGTAACTTTTTCTCTCTTTTACGTTTTAAAACTTATTCGTTGAATTTTTCATCACGTAACGCCCAAATATTCCATATTAACGTCGATTCGATATCCTTATATAAAGTGGACACGTTTAAAATTTTACGCATAAGTGGAAAGTTCAAAAATGTTGGATCAAAGTTTAATGTCGTCTTTTAATTAACTCGATAAATCTTGAAAATAAAAATGGGAAGGAGGATGATTTACGTCTTTTTTCAAAAACATCTGTGAAAAAAAAAAATATAGATATCTGCTATATATCGTTTCAAGATTTTCAAGATTGATTATAAAAAGTGGAAAATCGACTTTGCTTTCGGCCAAAAGTAACCTCATAAATGATAATAATGACTTTCTTTCGCGACGACATTCCGTAGGTACACCGTATATACGTAGCACGTGCAAAACGATATTTCATCTCGCCTCGCTATTTCGTTTTGACCCAGTTTCTCCGCATAAATATGATCCCATCTATGATTACCTTTTTGTAAAAAAACATTCTCAATTTCGCGTTTCGTCGAATGTTTTACATAATTTACGCGTAACAAGGAGTTATAACGTTGTTCCACCTATCGTGAACGCGTGTGAAATGAAGCGTTAAAAAGGCATTTATAGAAGTGTTCGACTCGGTCTTCTTTTCCTTTCGCCCGATGAGAAGCAAACGCGTTGGAAAATATTTACGCGCGCAGCTGATCGCAAACAAACGGATAAAATAATACGCGTGACATCTATCCGAGGAGGCCGCAAATGCGGCGCATGACTGCGTTTCGACGTTTTGTTTATTTCGTTTTGTTTGTCCGACAACACGGTAGCTCCAATTTCCAGATCCAATATCATCGTTAATATTGATCTCGAACGCTCGGCTAAAATGGTATCGCGATATCGAGCATCACCGTTATAATTGTAACGTATAATATCACGAGATGACTGTCCGTTTACGTACTTGACACGTACGCAAATAGGCATTAATCTTTGTAGGTAAACCTACAAATGACGCATGCTGATCCCCCTGCGTAAAATTATCGTTATCCGTAAGAGTGCGCAAATGCACAAGGTTATATCTTGTACGATTCAACGTGACAATCTAAATTTACATACGTGTATAAAACGATCGACATATTGATTAAATAACGAAACTAAAATTTTTTTTCTCGAATCGAAGAAAAATGATGGCTCGTATCATTTATACAGCGTGTATCGCGTCCAATCGATGACCGCGATGTTATCGATTCGTAAATCGGCCCATTCGTTTCTTCCTATCCGAAATATCGAATCCGTGAAAAATAGCTGTCGGTGGGGAAATAGCGGAAGGTAGCGGTTAACAGGGATTCTACTCGTCAACTCGTCTTGTAACTTTCCATGGACATGGGAAACGGTAATCCTGATTTCGGAAACGCACCTCCACCACGCTATATACGCGATCCACTAACGGTTTAAGCTGAAACGGGCGACGTAACGAGATTACCAAGGACTCGCTGCTGCTACCATTCCTCTTGCTCCTTCTTCGTATCATTGTCTTCGTCTTACACCCTCCGCAATCTCGTACAAATCCGCCTTCGCTATATCCGCATCGTCCGATCTGTACTCCCTCAAAGTAGGGAAATCTATCTACGTGCACGAACGACATTCGCCATCCGTCGTACGTTCTTTCTTTCCATCCTTCTAAATAAATAACAAGAATACAAACGTTAAGATTTTAAACGAGAATTTTCAGAAATCTCTAATCTCGTCTGTTTTAAAATTAAAATGCGTAAAATGCACTTAAACGCGATCCTCGATTCTCGACGATTCTGAACGTACGGTTTTCCTCCGTGTTGTTACACGATTCGATGACGATTCGAATCTCCTTGCCGCTTATACAGGGCAAATATGTAATCGAATCTTGCGAGGTTCCATCCTCCTAATTACGAGTCCCTTCATAGTCGAGTAACATTTCTAGTGGCAATTAGCCGTTGTTGACAAACGCAATTTGCAAGATGTAACTTTGTAGCCATACAGGTAGACAGAGTGTGTCTCTCGTGTTGCGTTCCTAAATACATCGCCACCATATCTGTCGTTCCATCCTCGATAGAGGATGCTTTCCAAGTAACCAAGCGTCATGTCCTGTGCATCCTTGTTTACCAAGATGCATGCTCGTGTTCTTCCAAAGTGTTTTGCTTATACACGATGAAAATCACATTATAAACCTCTGTTTAACTCCGTCGACATAAGCTTGATTATCTCTTACGACGAATACTTGCGAACGCACGTCGCGCGTATATACGCGATATCGAATGCAAAGTTTACAAGTTTATTTACCATGTAAATGTAAACAAAGGGAGGAGGAGGGGGGGGGGGACGAAACAAAAAAAAATATTATACGAGAATTTTCAAGAAAATTCGTTAGAGAGAATTACGGGCAACAAGGATTTTCTTGGAGAAAAGAAGGGAGGAAAGAAAATATGGAAAAGATTTGCGCGGATACGAGATAAAAGCGGAAAGGCAATCGAAAGGTTTACGAGGGAATGCAAACTATTTTAGGGTCATAGTTGAATACGGTCGATCGACTCGAAAATCGACGAAAGGAAAAAGGGAAGGGAATTTTCACTCGCGCTCGAGAATTCAAGGACTAGAGTGATACTGGCAGGCGATAGCGATGCGGCAAAGGGTGCGCAATCCTAAGAGAGGAGAGGAGAGGCGAATTCGCGTTAACGGGCACAAAGAGGAAGAAGAGAAAAGAGAAAAGGAAAAAGGGAAGAAGGAAGAAGGGCCGACGACGTGGTCGCAAAGCTTGGAAGCTTGTACAATGGTTGTGTGTCTCGTGGGCGCCTTCCAGTCTCTCGAACACGCCTTCCAATATACCATCCGCGATAACTTATTCTCTCTTATACACCCCTACCCTTCCTCCATATGTCACGATTTTCTATAACTCATACCTCTCCACAGATCTTCGCCACGTACGGAAGGGCGTGGAAACACACACTTACGTTGCTCTCTTTCCATTCCGATTCGTTCGTATCGTTAAAAGTATTTTACAAATTTACCAGCAACATTCGTGATTCGCGATTAATTTAACGCGAGTATTCTCGTGATCACGTTTATAATAGCCGGTCTATTCGATTCGGCTAGATGATTAATATCCCTTAAACGCGGTCCATCGTGATAGAAGCAGCTTCGACCATCCCTAATCTTAGTCATTAAGTGTACCGTACTCTCCATTGATCGAATAATCGACAATATTCCTTGTCAACCGGTGAATATTCCGCACAATTGTTGTTCCATCTATTTCTCGAACACCGTCTCGATAGATCTCGCTCATTAGACGAAATACAATTTCGTTTATCGTACAATCGTG